AACTCTAATAGCGACAAATCGCTCAACTCGACCCGCCCACGACAAACGACTCGATTTCAACTGCTGCCAGCTGCAACTGCTGAAGATACTGCATGATTCTTGCGCGTGAAGACAAAATCGTTCAGTTCGAGTAACTTGGATTTTCGACCGCGGTTTTTGGGCTACATCTAGAGAGATTTTGGGGCATTTAACACCCGGTTTCGTCCGCGATTTTCCACACCGAAGCATCTCCACCCTGCTTTCTACGCTCAACGCTCGTTTTATTGTGACTTAACGCATGGTTCTGTTTGTTTTATCACCTCGGCGGAGCTGTGACAGTGTTGTTGACAGTTTTCTGGGGAGGGGGAGAAAGTGCGCTGCACTGTTTTTCATTTGGCGTTTTCTTCGGCACGATTTCTGACCTTGTCAGAATGCGTCAGCACGACGTACGACTGCGATTGCCTTCAGCGAAATCAATGATTCTTGTACATCGCGACCGATTACCGCGTCAGCAGGTTCCCCCCACGTTCGCGTCATCGTCGACCGTCAGACCGACTTCGAAATGCATCAATGGCTTCAATTCCAACTTTCAATTCGAATTGGTCAAGACAATCCGCAACCGTCAGATATACAGCTGCTCGATCAACGGCTCACGTTCCAACCTCCAAATCAAATTGGGCCAGGCCATCCGCAGCCGTCAGATCGGGATCTCACTTTATCGACGGTCTACATTCCAACCTTTTCAAAATTATTGTACAAGACATTTCAGCCGTCGGATTCAGCTGAAGAGGATATCAACGGCATACTCACTAATGAAGGCCCCGTCTACATACAGGGAGGCCTTATTTGGAAGGTGGGAGAGTGTAAGGAATTATAAATTCCTTACTGTACTCGCATTTTAGCGAGTACAATCCGAACACCACGCGTCAGCCCGGTTCGGCCTACATTTCCGCCCCGAACCACTTCCGAGTCGCCACCGCTCCAATCGCAACACTTTCCGAGCCATCCTAGCCCGAACCCTTCGCCTAGCTAGGATTCCCTTTATAAATTCCCGTCACTTCATTGTGTCGTCATTCAGTAGTTCAGGATTCTCGTTATTCGTTTTACTGCGCACTCTGCAAGTTCATTCATAACAGTATTGACGCGTGGAACGACTTGAGGGTATCCACTGAATCTGCGTCACAGGCGAACAAGCGCATACATCAGTGACGTGGTTTCCATGAATCGCGAATGTCGCTACGTATTTCGAAACAGATTCGAAGTTCAGTCCGCCTCCACCAATCAAAGCCGACCTTGCCTGTCAGGCCAGCACGTCTTCCCCCAGAAAATGCGACGCACAGCCTCGCCGCTACTTCTGCCGCTCCTTCCGCTGTTCTCCCAATGTTACCCCCACGTCCTCCCGTTCATCGTCCACTTCCATATCTTCTTTCCGCGTTTTTCCAAGACGCCGTCAGACATAAATCTTAGTAACGACGCGGTCTAGCCCATAATATGCGAACCGCAACGACCCGTGGATGCAAGATGAGCTGAGGAACCGTTGTCTAGCTATGCGATATTAAGCAACGAGCCTAAGCGACGAGTCCAAGCGGACGATCGGGCGAGCAGTGCGACAAGGCGTTTAGGCGATCACGCGACGAGCGGTAGTACTCGGCGGCGTGGGGAGCCGGATCGTGTGAGTCAGCGTGGCTTTGGTAACCATTTTTTGGTAACCAGCTGTTGAGGCCAAGCAGCAATTAGTTCGCGATTCTCGTTGTAGCGGATCTTCGCTCGCGAATGGCGGGCGCGGCAGCCCGCCGACAGCGTAATCTCGCGGTGGCGGCCGCTCTGGGTGTGTTCACCCTCGGGACTCTCTCGCTGCCGCTGCTGCTGCGGTACTTCCCCTCGCCTACCCACCCTTTTCCGCACTTTCTCCCTCCCTGTCCTGCCTGCATACAGTCGCATCCCATTCATTCCCTCACCGCCGCTCATTTGAGGATTATAAGTAGAGGCCTGCCTGCATATTCCCAGTAACAGCTCCCCAAATCTTATTGCGTCCACGCGCATCCTTTCGTATCCTCACTGCCTCTTCCTTAGGCTCTCTTCCTCAGGCTGGCTGAGAGTCTCATGCCCCCATTCCTCTCCTATCCCCCCCTTTTCTCTGCCTTCCGCCTGCCGCACTCACAGAGAGAGCCTTTTACAGAGAGTCCCGTGTTTGAACTTTCTTCCCCTACTCCCCCCCTTTTCCCTCCCTTACTCCCCCCCCTTTCCCTCCCCCCTACACCCCCCCTTTCCCTCCCCCCTACACCCCCCCTTTCCCTCCCCCCTACCCCCCCCCCCCTTTCCCTCCCCCCTACTCCCCCCCTGTCCCTCCCCCCTACTCCCCCCCTGTCCCTCCCCCCTACTCCCCCCCTGTCCCTCCCCCCTACTCCCCCCCTGCCCCCTACCCCCCCCCTTCCCCTCCCTCCCTCGCTTGCCTTGGCTCCCTCTCAGCCGCTTCCTCTCGCGCTGCTGCTGGAGAGGGAGGGGGCGCTGAGAGGATACAGAGAGGCTCGTTTCCTCGGCGAATCCAGGCATTATTTCCTCTCTGAGCACCATCTCCCCCTCCCCTCCCGTCTCCCTCGCCTCCCTCCCCTCCCTGCCCTCCCGTCCCCTTCTCCCGTCCCCTTCTCAGGTGCTTCCGCTCGCAGCCCCTGGTGGAGAGGGAGGGTGCGCTGAGCCCGCTGGCAACGCATGGAGAGTCTGGTTTCTCCACACGATTCTGAGCACCATCTCCCCCTCCCTTCTCATCTCCCTCGCCTCCCTCCCCTCTTCTACCCTCCCGTCCCCTCCTCCCCAGCCGCTTGCACTCGCAGCCTCTGGTGGAGAGGGAGGGGGCGCTGAGCCCGCAGGCAGTGCAGCGAGGGCCGTACCTGAATGCAGGCAGCAAGGACATTGGTCGAGACCCCACACCCATTTCCGTGTACAAGCAGAAGAGGGAGCCTCAGGCTGAGTAGTCATTCTCAGTGTGGAGGGAGGGGGTGCTGAGCCCGCAGGCAGTGCAGGGGGGGAGGCGTACCTCAATGCAGGGAGCAAGCACATCGGCAGAGACCCCACTTCCATTTCCGTGTACAAGCAAAAACGGACTAGGCTGAATAGTAGAGCAGTGTGTACAGGGTCTAATATTGTATTCGGTACATTCATTGTTTAGCTTTTGTTCAGCACACAGTAATTTGGTGGCAATGGCAGAACCGGTAATCTATTTGCATAACTGTACACAAACAGGGAAGCGTACCGTACAAGTATCTCTCGTGTGTGATACGGTCAACAATCGCAAGGCCAACAAGAAGCTCCTTCCTCTGACGTCCTCAGGAGGAGGTCACAAATACCACTTCTCTCCTCATCTGCTCATCACACAAGCAGCATCGTCGCCTCGTTTCACGGACGCCCTGCCCTCTACCCCCTCTCTCTCCCTTTGCGCTCCACCAAGGCAGCGTATGCGCTAACCTCGCCTCTGCAGCACCGACTCACAATCCCAAACACCCCGCTGCGTGGCATGCGCCCATCGGGACGTTGCACCGCGATGCACCGCGTTGCACCGCTGGGATGTACATCACAAGCAGCATCATCGCCTCTTCCCATGCCGCCCCCTCGCCCTGCCTGCCCCTTTCTCCCCGCCAGCAGGCGCGCCCCCCACAGCCACCACGGTACCCTCCCTGATGCCCTCTGCTGTTCCTGCTCCCCCCTCTCGCTCCACTATCTTCTGTGCTTCTATGAACACCATCAGGTCCCGCACCTGAAGGGGGGAGGCGGGGGGGGGTGTTGGGGGAGTAGGGAGAGCAGTGATACACAGGCTTGTCTTGTCCAAGCTTCATTGAACTGCCAGCCATACCGCCCTCCTCTCGCTCCACTATCTTCTGCGCCTCTTTGAACACCATCAGATCCCGCAAGTGAAGGGGAAGGGAGGGGGGAGGTGAGCGGGTTGGGGGTACGAAGAGCAGTGATACACTTGTGTCTCATGCACGCCTCATTAGACTGCCAGCCACGCCACACCCTCCTCTCCACCCACTCTCGCTCCACTATCTTGTGTGCCTCTACAAACACCATCAGATCCCGCACCTGAAGGAGGGAAAGGGGGTAGGGGGAGAGCAGTGATGCACAGGTGCCTCATGCACGCCTCGTCAGACTGCCAGTCAGAACACCCCCCCCCCTCCCCCCCTCCTCCCCCTTCCCCCCCCCCCCTCCTCTCGCTCCACTATCTTCTGTGCCTTTTTGAACACCATCAGGTCCCGGCACCTGGGGGAGAGGGAGGGAGGGTTATGAAAGAAGCAACCAGTGTGAGGGCCCTGGGAGGAAGTGCCCCATCAGACCCCCCCCCCCCCCCCCCCCCCCCCCCCTCGCTCCACTATCTTTTGCGCTTCTTCTAACACCATCAGGGTCCCACACCTGAGGTGGGAGAAGGGGGGGAGGGCTAGGGGGGGAACGGGGGAATTGGGGGGGCAGAGATTGAACAGTCACAAGCAGGTGTCAGGCCGAGAAGTACCCCATGCGAGCACCATGCAACCCCTCCCCATTCCTCTCTTCCTCTCCTCTCACCTGATCCTCTCCTCTCACCTGCTCCTCCAGGTCTTTGATCTTCTCATCCCGCGCAGCTACAGTTGCCTTCTCCCTGAGAGCGCAACCACAACAAGGAGAGAGGGGAAGTAACGTGGAATCAGCCAGGCCCACGCAATGAAGAAATTCAATTCAGCAGAAAGCGATACGTGCACAAAGTGAGGCTCACGCAATGGGAAACTTTGAGCAACAGAGGGATGGGATTACAGTGCAATGGGAGAACCAGGCGACATGGGTCTCAAGACTCACATCCATGCACCCAATGATGCCGCCAAAGAAGGTGGGTTCCAAACACACCACCCTTGTACCACTTGACTTGATTACCTACCCTCACTCACGCCACACATCACACACTCCTGCCCCTCCAGCACACCCCCCCTTCATGCCAGATCCCTCACATGCCACACTCCACTCATCCATTCCTCGACCTGCTGCCCTGCCTGGTGTCCTCCTCACCTCTCCTCCTGCTGCTTGAACTTCTCCTGCCACTGCTTCTGGTTCTTGATCAGCGAGTCGTTCACCTGCCAGCACATGGTAGGCACACAGTGGGTTCAACAGATAGGCAAGCACAGAGCTATAGCACGGGTTTCGTGGGAAAACACAGAAGTCACTACACCGGTTCCACAGGCCGAGAGCTCTTATTTCAAGCTGACCTTTGAGTCAACTCATAAGTCACCATATTTTAAGGCCCTTCGATGATTGGCATGGGAGGATGGCAGTTGTGCCTGCCTGAAGTCAACATACCAGTGCCAGAGCACGGAGCTTAGTGCAGAAGCCATGGGTCAAAGCAGAACCCCACCGCTCACCTGTCGCAGGAACTCCTTCTCCTGCTCGGCGCGCTCGAGTCTAGACTGCAGCTTTTGCACCTTCACACTCTCCCTTGCCGCCTCTGCTGCTGCCACCGCCTCGTCCCTCTCGGCCTTTGCTGCTGCTAACAGCCCCTCAAAGTACTGGCCACATGCACGCAGGGAGTGCAAGGGGGAGTGATAGGAATGCAAGGTCATGGTACGCCAGTGGTGTTCCCTCCTCTCCTCTTCAAAACACCTGTCTCTTCTCAGGCATCTCACTGTGACTTCACTGTGTCTTCTCTTCGAGTGTTATTCAATGTTGGTCAGCATGTAACTTCTCCTCTGCCTGAGTCTTCCATTCTATTACAAGCATGTGCACAGGCTGAGCCAGACCGCATTCAACCAAGATTGCCTTGGATTGGCCAAGCAGCCGAACCGACATCAAAATGGATCGTACTGAACAGGGACTTGGCCGGCTCAAGGCTAGAGCAAATTGGTCAACTATCGATTCGACCAGAACTGCGTGCAGGCTAGGTCAGCCCGGAAATTCAGTTTGGGTGTTTAAGTGCGCTTTGTGTTTGAAACAACTATGCAAAGACATGCAGTGAGAGGACTAGAACACGGCGTTAGGTATTTGAGGCGCCGAGAGAACAGTAACAAATATATTACTGAGAAGATTTAAAGGTTGGAAATAGAGTTACCAGTCGTTGTGAGTCCAACTGTGTGGTGAGCAGGTGCGTGTACTCATAGGCCACCTGGAAAGAAAAAATGATGAGGGGATGAGGGTGCAAGGGGAATGTGGGACGAAAAGGGGGGATGAAAACGGGGGGATGAGAGGGTGCAACGAGAATACGACGTGGAAGTGTGGACATGCGATCTTTGCGATTTCGAGAGCAGTCGTGCGCTTGACAGCACGTACCACCACTTCCGCTCTCCTGGACACGGACTTCGACTTATTCAAGCAGAGACACAACCGCTCCTCATGGATATACAAAAGTGCACGCTCTCCTGCAGGAGAGTGTGAACTTTCACGTCTATTGGTCTATCCATGAGGAGTAGTTGTGTCTCTTCTTGAATGAGTCGAAGTCCGTGTCCAGGAAAGCGAAGGTAGTTGTACGCGTTGTCGAGCACATGACCGCACTCGAAATCGCAGATCGCATGTTCACACTTCCATGTCGTCTTCTAGCCCGATGTACCCACAAGCCACCTAGAAGAAGGGGAGGCGGACGGGAGGAAGATGTGGAAGCGGAGGGTGCAAGGTAGATGTGGGAGGAGAAGAAGGAGAAGCGAAGGGAGCATCATTGTCATGCAAGAGCCTGCTGAGACTGAACGCCATACCCTTCGCCATGGTAGATAAAGATGTGGTTATTGGTGATAATAGTGAGGTTTCTTACTGGAGCCGACATGAGGTATGCAAGCACCACCTGATGCACTATAAAGTTGATTCTGCAGGGAATGTACTTACGCGACCAAATCACGTGTCACTCCACTCCACATCACCGCCCTCCCAGTTGATACCACAGTACCGTACCGATTTCAGTTTACCGCTCATCACCACATTGGGAAACTCCTCACCTCATCCCCCCAATGGCGATGGTAATGTCTGCTGTGGGCTGCTACTCCCCACTATTCCCTTCCCCATTTTTCCAAGTCGGCTCGAAACTTACCGATTCGAGCTTGCTGTTCAACACCGTCTGGGCAAACTCCTCATCCCCTCCGTGGCCATGGTGCTGCTGGTGACCCACCCCCTACCCTCCCCTCCCCCCCCTCCCTCCTCATCCCCTCCCTTTTTCTAAGTCAACTTGCAACTTACCGATTCCAGTTTACTGTTCATGACAGCCTGGGCGAATTCCTCATCCCCCCCGTGGCGATGGTGCTGGTTGCTGCAGCTACCCCCGGGCCCCACCTCACACTGCCCCTCATCCCCCCCTCCCCCTCCCCCTGCACTCCCCACTCCGCCACTCCCCCCTTTCTCTTTCCCCCCTCCATCACTCCCCTCCCTAGCACCACCCGCCCCGCCCTCCCCTCCCACACGCCCATCTCCCCCATCTCCCCCACCTCCTCCCCCTCCGCCTCCGCCTCCCCCTGCGCCACGTCCCCCCGCCCCCAGGTCCCCCGGGGCGGGGAGTTCAACGAGTTTGCCGTCGGTCTTGGAGAGCACGAGGCGGTGCACGAAGGCGTCACCCACATAGTCCCACACGCGCTGCGACGCCACCTCCAGCGAGTAGCAGTGCTGGGACGCGCGGAAGTGCGACTCTGCGTGGCCCCCTTGGTAGCTGCAAGGGGGTGGGAGGAAGAGCATCAGGGGGGACGGGTGAGAAGGGTGGTTTTGAGAGGACTCATAACAAATCTGCTTCACGTCGCTGTGATGCCACCTCCAGCGAGTAGCAGTGCTGCGAGGCTCGAAAGTGCGACTCTGCATGGCCTCCTTAGTATGTAGGGGGAAGAGGGGGGGGAAGGAGGGTGATTTGAGGCATGTTGTAATGGAAGATGATGCTTGTGCTATCCCGTTCCCACAACCACTAGACTTCAGCTACCCCCGCAATCTCGATGACTTGAGCTACCCCGCTCTTGGATCGATCGAGACAATGCTTCTGTCAGTGACATAAAACATTGCCATCACACCAGCAAGTATTGGCCGCACCCCACAAAGTCACAGATGAGGCAAATCCAGTGACTGGCGTGTGAGGGGTAGAGAGCACACTGCACAGTCGTCCACACCAGCACGCAAGCGCGCACGCAAGCACGCATGCAAGAAAGCGCACACGCAAGCAAGGCAGCACTGACCGGCCACAGCCCACGAATCCACAGATGAGGCAGATCCAGAGGCTGTCGTGAGAGCCGCACACGGCACACTGCGCCTTGTCTGCCGGCTGCTCGCAGTAGCGACACACCTGCGGGCGGGGGAAAAGGGGGGAAAGGGGGGGGGAAAGGGGGGGGGGGGAAGACATGTGGGTTTAGGGAAGAGGAAGAGTCAAGATGAACGGTTGAGAACTTGCGTGATTGATGCTGGCTGGATGGCAGCGGCGGCACAACTGGTACGAGTGGCAGTAGGTGAGGGGGGGGGGAGCAGCAACCAGGAGGCGTGGGAAGGGGGAGGAGTGGCAAGGGATGGGTTCGTTTGGAGATGCAGAAAGAGCAGGCAGAGAGAGGACATGGCACGGCACATGCACGCATGGGGCAGGAAGAAAGTGTACAAGGGAGGCAGTCGGATAAGCACATCAGTCGACACACGTACCAGATTGCCCTTTAAGTCGGCTAAAAAATCACAAGCATGTAGCGCGTGACTCGGGTCGCAAGCCCGTAAAGGGCAGGATAGCACGCACGCGGCAGGAGGAGCAGGCAGAGAGGGGTATGGCATGTGCGTACATACAAGACACGGAGGAACACACAGCACGCACGGGGCAGGAGGAGTCGGTCCACTTGGAGATGCAGGAGGAGTGGAACGAGTGGTTGCACACTGTCGTGAGGATGCCGCTGATGTGCCGATCCAGGCGCTCTGCCACACGCCAGGAGCATGGGGATTTGTGCGAGTTGGGGGGGGTGGGGTACAAGGAGGAACATGAGGGGGGTGGAGTGGAAGGAGTGGGTGGTTGGTTGCACACAGTTGTCAGCATGCTGCTTATGTGCAGATCCAAGTGCTGTAAAGGAAGAGGGGCGGAGTGGAAGGGCGGGCAAGATGAGCAGGTATTGAGAAACCAGAACCGGGAGATGAAGGGGGGAGAGAGCGCTTGCACATCCATGCCAGCAAGCCGAGCCCGGGCACAGTAGAATTTGAAGGATAGCAGCTTAGGACTACATCCCACGTACGGCCCCAGGTTTCCAAGGTCACAAACTCAAAAAGTTTCAAGTGAATCCCACGTACGTGCCTGAATCTGGGCGCCAAGGCTCTGTGGCGCCAAGGCTCTGTGGCGCCAAGGCTCTGTGGCGCCAAGGCTCTGTGGCGCCAAGGCTCTGTGGCTTACCGAGGCAGACGGGGCAGGAGGGCAGCTCTGTGAGGCCGGCAGGGGGCGTGGCTGCCTCCTCCTGTGACCCCGTCACCACCACCTGCTTCGTGAACAGCACCCGGCACAACTCGCTCTGGTAGATGGAGATGGGGAAACATTGGTGTGGAGTGCAGATCGGGGGGGAGGCTTTGAGTCATCTCAAACTACAGTTCTGCAGGCAGGGGGCGTGGCTGCCTCCTCCTGCGACCCTGTCACCACCACCTGCTTCGTGAACAGTACCCGACACAACTCGCTCTGATAGATGGGGATGGAAAGAGGGGTGAGGGGGACAGTGGGGTGTGGTGGGGAGGGACATGGGGAAGGCGGGATGGGACCCCGTCACCAGCACCTGCTTCGTGAACAGCACGTGACACAACTCGCTCTGATAGATGGTGATGGAAAGAGGGGTGAGGGGGACAGCGGGGTGTGGTGGGGAGGGACAAGGAGAAAGCACGATTGGACCTTGTCACCAGCACCTGCTTCGTGAACAGCACGTGACACAACTCGCTCTGACAGATGGTGATGGAAAGAGGGGTGAGGGGGACAGCGGGGTGTGGTGGGGAGGGACAAGGAGAAAGCATGATTGGACCTTGTCACCAGCACCTGCTTCGTGAACAGCACGTGACACAACTCGCTCTGGTAGATGGGGATGGGAAGAGGGGTGAGGGGGACAGCGGGGTGTGGTGGGGGGAGGGACATGGGGAAAGCAGGATGGGACCCCGTCACCAGCACCTGCTTCGTGAACAGCACGCGGCACAACTCGCTCTGACACGTGGGGATGCGGGGACAAGGGGAAAGCGGGATGGAGGGGGAAAGGAGGATTGGGGGGGGGATGGGGATGAGAGCCGCACGTGCTTTGTGAAGAGCACTCGACACAGCTCGCTCTGACACGTGGACATGGGGGATGTGCAGGGGGAATGCGGCATGAGGAGGACGGGGAGATGGGAGGGGGCAGGGGGATAGCAACCCGTCACTACCTGCTTCTTTGTGCAAATAAGAGGAAATTTCACATGTTAAAGGCAGGAAGCGATGGGATGGGGACAGAGAACAGCTAGCTGTAAGAGCACAGTGTACAAAACAAGTACACGGCGTGAGATAAGTAAGTAATTTCCTGGTCGATTTCGTTACTCTGATGCGAGCAGTGAGGAGCAATGAGGTTGAGGCACGAGTGCACAGCTAGGTCAGCAGCACGTTTGCTTGCTATCAAGAATAGTGGAGGAGGGTCTGGGTGAAAGAGAAACTATGGCGCACACCCACGGAGGCGAAAGGAGAGGAGAGGAGAAGAGAGAGAGGAGAAGAGAGGAGAGGAGAGGAGAGGAGAGGAGAGGAGAGGAGAGGAGAGGAGAGGAGAGGAGAGGAGAGGAGAAGAGAAGAGAGAGAGGAGAAGGGAGGAGGAGAGGAGAGGAGAAGAGAAGAGAGAGAGGAGAAGAGAGGAGAGGAGAGGAGAGGAGAGGAGAAGAGAGGAGAGGAGAGGAGAGGAGAGGAGAGGAGAGGAGGTGAGAGGAGAGGAGAGGAGAGGAGAGGAGAGGAGAGGAGAGGAGAGAAGAGGAGAGGAGAGGAGAGGAGAGGAGAGGAGAGGAGAAGAGAGGAGAGGAGAGGAGAGGAGAGGAGAGAAGAGGAGAGGAGAGGAGAGGAGAGGAGAGGAGAGGAGAGGAGAGGAGAGGAGAGGAGAGGAGAGGAGAGAAGAGGAGAGGAGAGGAGAGGAGAGGAGAGGAGAAGAGAAGAGAGAGAGAGGAGAAGGGAGGAGAGGAGAGGAGAAGAGAAGAGAGAGAGGAGAAGAGAGGAGAGGAGAGGAGAGGAGAGGAGAAGAGAGAGGAAAGGAGAGGAGAGGAGAGGAGAGGAGAGGAGAGGAGAGGAGAGGAGAGGAGAGGAGAGGAGAGGAGAGGAGAGGAGAGGAGAGGAGAGGAGAAGAGGAGAATAGAGGAGAGGAGAGGAGAGAGAGGAGAGGAGAGAGAGGAGAGGAGAGGAGAGGAGAGGAGAGGAGAGGAGAGGAGAAGAGAGGAGAATAGAGGAGAGGAGAGAGAGGCGAGGAGAGGAGAAGACAGGAGAGGAGAGGAGAGGAGAGGAGAGGAGAGGAGAGAAGAGGAGAGGAGAGGAGAGGAGAGGAGAAGAGAGAGGAGAATAGAGGAGAGGAGAGGAGAGGCGAGGAGAGGAGAAGACAGGAGAGGAGAGGAGAGGAGAGGAGAGGAGAGGAGAGGAGAGGAGAGGAGAGGAGAGGAGAGGAAGGAGGGTGAGGGAGAGAGGGGCGTACCTCCATGGAGGAAAAAGAGGGAGATAGGAGCGTACCTCCATGGAGGAAAAAGAGGGAGATAGGGGCGGACCTCCATGGAGGAGAATGGTTTGTTGTTGAACTGTCGGAAGAAGCCATCTGCTGCCTCTTGGGACTTCATTCGCATGAGCACCATGTAGCGCTCTGATAGGCTGTCGTTCCTGGTGTAGGGTTGACAGAGGGGCATAAACACAGGGAGACATAAGGCAGGGGGGAGACAAGTGAGTTAAAACATTCGCATGAGAACCATGTAGCGCTCTGATAGGCTGTCGTTCCTGGTGTAGGGTTGACAGAGGGCAGTGAGGCGGGCATGGGGCAGCAGCAGAAGCAGGGAGGAAGGAAAGATGACTTAATTCACAGCAGCACCATGAAGCGCTCTGATAGGCTGTAGTTCCTGGTGGGTTGAGAACGAGCGGACAGATGGGTAGTGCGCACAGAAATCAAGAATGATGAGAATGGTGCCACTGCCTGATTTGCGCTGCGACTCCATGGTGTGTCGCACTCTCCTCCACAATCACACCCCCTCTCCCCCTCCATCACCCCCACCTCTACCCATACCACCAACCCCCCATGTGGTAACCACATCAGCAATAGACATGGCGCCTGCTCTTCGTGGTCACCATTACGTGCCTCTCTCACCACACCTCGCCTCGCCTCACCTCCTCACCACACCTCGCCTCGCCTCACCTCACCTCGCCTCACCTCACCTCACCTCACCTCACCTCACCTCACCTCACCTCACCTCACCTCACCTCGCCTCACCTCACCTCACCTCGCCTCACCTCCACACCTCACCTCGCCTCACCTCCTCACCTCTCCTCACCTCATCTCGCCTCACCCCACCTGACGATGTGCATGCTCTTCATGGCCACCACCACGCACCTCCTCACCCCTCTGCACCGCACCTGACGATGCGCATGCTCTCGATGGCCCCCAGCAGTGCGCCAGTGAACTGGCAGAAGTCAGCGCCTGTCATGTACGTTGGCACCGCCAGCACACATAGCTCCACGCCCCTGTCGGGCTGGCAAGGGAGCACGGGATAAAGGGGTCAAGGGGCACGCAGGACATGGGCAAACAGCAAGCAGCACTAGTCAACGGCTGTCATGAATGTGGGTCCTTAGGTCATTCCTGCCATGTACTGCCAGCACGCACTGCTCCACGCCCTTGCTGGGCTGGTGAGCAAGGGCGCATGACGTGGCGTGGATGGGAGAGACGAGCAGACATGGGGAAATCGCAAACAGCACAAGTCAGCGCCTGTCATGTACGTGGGCGCTGCTACCACACATAGCTCTACACCGAGGTCGGGATGACAACAAGGCGTGGCGTGGTGGGTGGGAGAGAAGGCGAGACATGGGCTAACAGCAATTAGCAGGAGTCGGCATGTACGTGGAGAGTGCTAGCACGCATAGCTCCTCGCTCCTGTCGGTCTGGTGAGGGGGCATGTGGAAGGGAAAGAGGAGAAGAGGCAACATGAGCAAACAGCAGAAAGCGGGAGGCAAGACGGGCAAGGTAAGTGCGCAGTTCCCGCACACAGGCTGCACCCTGCTGCAGCACACGGCCATTCACACCCTCACCGCCTTCCTTGCTCCCACCGCCCCTAGAAATAGTCCCTCCAGAACCCCCCCCCCCCCCCCCCCCCCCCCCCCCCCCCCCCCCCCCCCCCCCCCCCCCCCCCCCCCCTCTCCCCCTCTCTCTCCCCTCCTCCCTTTTCCCCATGTCACCCAACGGCTCGTACCGGCAGGTTCTGCAGCGAGCCAGGGCTCTCCGCGGTGTTTCGGTAGAGGTGAATCACGCCGCGCGTCGATTCCACCTTGGGATTGCCGGACGAGAACGGGATGCACTCGTTATTGTCACCTCGCGCATTGTCACCCGCCCCGGGATCCGCGGCTTCGCGAGTTTCGCCTTCAGATTCGCCTGCACGTTGGCCACGTGTCAGCGTCTCCGCATCTGACGCCGGCGAGGTGCTACTACCGGCGTTAAGCGAGGCCCGTTAGTAGAACGGCGAACCGCGTCACTGTAAGAGCTGACGGCGGCTCCCGCACTAGACTGGGTGTTAACGTCCACGTCAGCATGAACTTTGAGGGTGAACATGGTGATAATAACGAACGGGGAATAGAATTTGCGTGTTATCCTCTATGAGTGTCAGTTTGTGGCCTCGATACAGGATACTTTCTCTGCCCTGGATACAGGTCAATCTGTCCGCCCTCGATACAGGTCACTCGCTTTGCTCTGCATACAAGTTGAGGACTTCGACGACAATTATGTAATTAGTATCTCCACCATATATGGTAGAATTGCGTCACGGTGGTGTAATAGCTTCTTTGCATGTCCCCGAGTCGGCAGAGGGCGTGTTTTCCAAAAGCACGAACTGAACGAGAATCGCTGAAAAAACCAACCAAAATTGACCTTTTTTGACAACCCACGCTTCGCGACACCAACCACCCCAAAGAGAAAAAAGTTCGGTTCGTTTTAACTCTAACCTGTTCGAGCTAACCGAACCTAGGTCCGGTTCTTGCTCATATCTAGCTACATGTATCAATGAAATTTATGTGTGACACAACCTAACATTGTTCGATCCGTGTTGCCAGGAGCAAGGTGCGAATTTCGCGCTGCTTTCACTAGTCGATTTTGGCGGGTTTACGAAGAGGCTAGCGACAGTCGCAGCGCGTCGCAATGGGGGTCGCCAAGGGAACAGTGGCGACGGTGTCGGCGAACGTGTGTGACTTCATTCTCGCGGCGGTGCGCGATGAGCTGCGCGTCGATGGTCGCAAGCCCTTCGATTATCGCTCCTGGGACGTCTCTTCTAGCAGGTAGTAATTGTACTCGGTATACACTCAACCTAGACACGTTATAGGTTTGAGTACGACGTTAATACCGAAGTCGGCCCGTGAGCGGTTGCGAGCCAACAGCTCCGTATGCCATGATGAGCGTTGCAGTTCGTCTGGACCGTTATCCTTCTGATGGCGTCTGATTAGCGTCGCACAGGCAACTCCCGTGCGCCCTCTCTCGTGCGCCCGTTATACCCCCATGCGAGTGCCACTGGCGATGGCGGTGGACCTCAGGCCTGCTTTCCATCGCTTGCTTCTTCTTCCACCCCGCATTTTGCCCCACGCGCCCGCGTCCTCGTCACTTTCTCCATGCTCTCCTGGCCCCAAGCATTCAAATTCAAACCCTCTTCCTTCAAACCCCAATTCTTAAAACCCTCCCACTGGAAACCCTTGTTTTCAAACCGCACAAACCCTCTTCCCCCAAACCCTTGTTTCCCCCAACTCCACCAGGAGCTGCAGCAGCACAAGCCCCCCACTCCCCGCATCCCCACGCCCCCCACCGCCTCCCCTCTCCCCCATTGCCTGCCTCCCTACTCCCCACACCGCCTCCCTGCTTCCCCCTCCCACTCCCCACATCGTCCGCCTCACCACTCCACCCAACTCCTCCCCACTCCCCCATTTGTCCGCCTCACCACTTCCCCCACTGCCTCCCCACTCCCCCCATCGTCCGCCTCACCTCTCCCCCCACCGCCTCCCCACTCCCCCCATTGTACGCCTCACCACTCCCCACATAGCCCGCCTCCCCACTCCCCCTTGCCCACCTTGCCACTCCCCCCGTTGCCCCCCTTCGCGCTCCCCCTTGTTTCCTGCTTGCCCTTCACCGCAACCACAGCCAGCAGCACATCAAGAGGGCGTCCAGGCAGCACGTATATTCTCACCTTTTTCTCTGCTGCCCTCGCTCCCACAGCCCTTCCCTCTCTTTCATCCTGCTCCATACTCCTCCGCCAGGGAGTGATGACATGACAGCACAGCACAGGTGCAGGTGGGTACTGGGCAGCACGCGTCGTGGGCTTGCCTCGGTGTCAGCAGCCCCCTCACGCTGCCCTCCCCCTCTTCCTTCTTTCCTTTTCTCTCCCCCGCCATCCTCCTCCCCCAACCCAACCCCCATCCCGCATGCCCTCTACTAGGGACGACGGCACAGCAGAGGTGCAGCTGGGCAGCACCCGTGTGCTCGCCTCAGTATCAGCAGCCCTGACGCTGCCCTTCCCGATCGCCCCCACGAGGGCTCCCTGGCCGTCTTCACAGAGCGTGCCCCCATAGCCAAACCCTGCTGACCCGCGCTTCGTGCTTACCCCATTCACCATTCTTCCAGGGACGACGGCACAACAGAGGTGCAGCTGGGCAGCACTCGGGTCCTCGCCTCATTGTCAGCCGCCTCACGCTGCCCTTCTCCTCATGTCTCTCTCTCCTGCTTTGCTCCTTCCCCCATCCATCCCCCATCCCCCCTGCCAGAGACGACGGTTAGAGCAGAGGTACAACTGGGCAGCACGCTGGTCCTGGCGTCAGTAACAGCAGCCCTCACGCTGCCCTTCCCCGACCGCCCCTTTGGCCAAGCCCCTTTTCGTGCTTACGTACCCCATCGCCCCTCTACCAGGGACGATGGCACATCAGAGGTGCAGCTCGGCGGCACGTGGGTCCAGGCGTCCGTGTCAGCAGCCCTGACGCTGCCCTTCCCCGACCGCCCCAACGAGGGCTCCCTGGCCGTCTTCACGGAGCTCGCCCCCATGGCTGACCCGCGCTTCGTGCCGGGGCGCCCGGGGGAAGAGGCGATAGAGCTGGGGCGCATCATTGACCGCGGGCTCTGTCAGAATCCCAGCCACTAACCACTGGGATAAAAGGGCTTATTTATATAGCGGGTGAGTGCGCCCATAACCCCCCAGGCCGACGTGCCTGTAACCCTTCCCTAGGATCATCGGGGATCCCCAGTGGACCTCTGACACCCCCCCGCACTGGGATGCCCGAGGTGCACACACCGGGAATCGAACCCGAGACCTTCGCTCTGATACCATGTCAAGATAGGTTGCTAGGGTTTAGTCTTAGGAGCCTTGCTGGAGGTAGAGTGTCGAGGGAGTTGGCAATGAAAGAGGACTTCACTATAGAGTCAAGGGTACAAATATGATAGGAAAGGGGGTAATCCACCAAACAGAATGTGATAACTACACTACTGCTATATCTACATGCAGTTACAGTAATATAACTCTGACATTCCCCCTTAACTGCATGCAGGAATAGCAAAGCATAAATCACAACCTGCAAGTGTACTGAAAGCATTAGCACGCAAGAGCAATGACAACCAGTGCAGTGGTGGCAGAAACAACTGCAGAAACCCCTTAGCCAATACAGAAACGAAAGAAAGGTGCATGTGGCGCAGGTCGCCTGGAGAGCGGCGTGCGGCGGCAACGAGCGGCGGCACAGCAGGCTCAACGGCAGCACCTGCCGCTCAACAGCAGCAAACGAAAGAGACGAATTAAGTGGCAACAGGGGCTGCAGCTGGAGGTGCCACAGTAGCAGGGGGTGGCAGTTGCAAATGCAGGGCTGCTGCTTCTGCCACTCTCTCTCATACCCTCCCTCCTCCCCCTTACCCTCTCTCCCCCCCCCCCCCCCCCCCCCACAGCAACAATTGCTGCAGGGAGAGAGGAAGAGGGAAGGGAGGGAGGAGCGGCAGGCTCCTCACACCCGCCCCCCCCCCCCAACCCCCCCCCCCCCCTCCACGACGGAAGGGAGGGCGGGTGGGAAGGGCGGAATCACCCGCTGCCGGCGCTGGCGTGGGCTGCTGGCGCTGGGAGCCGGCCCCGGCGCTGGCGCTCGTCGCTGGTGCTTGTGCTGGTGCTGGCGCCCGCCGGCGCTGGCGTCCGCGGCGACGAAACGGGGGGCCCCGGCGCGTCGAAACGGGTGGCCGCGGGGCGACGAAACGGGGGGGGCCGCGGGGCGACGAAACGGGGGGCCGCGGGGCGACGAATCGGGGGCCGCGGGGCGACGAAATGGGGGGCCGCGGGGCGACGAATCAGACGGGCGCAGGGCGCGACGGGACGAAGAAAATAGCGCATTTCGCGCTGCATTAAGGGCGGGCCCATGTTTCTGAAAAAAAAAATGAAGGTTCTAGGAAAGAACCAGCTCTGAAACCATGTCAGAATCCCAGCCACTAACCACTGGGATAAAAGGGCTTATTTATATAGCGGGTGAGTGCGCCCATAACCCCCCAGGCCGACGTGCCTGTAACCCTTCCCTAGGATCATCGGGGATCCCCAGTGGACCTCTGACAGGCTCAGGTGAGGGCGGATAGCGTTACAGATAGGGGCGCAGCGCATCCACATACAGATAGCAGGCGGCAGGTTCCCAGTGTGAGAGTACGTCGGCTTATGCCAGCCATGCATGCTTGCTTTTATTTCCTTACGCTATTCCTAGCTTAGGTTTATTTTCTGCATGCATGAATTGCTTGATTTTCTAAGTTCGTTGCTTTACTATAGTTATTATAGTTATAGGCACCGAACCAGGTTACGTGTACCGAACTCAAGCTATTCGGTTGCCACCGAATTGCTTTCTACCGAGTTCGGGAAGGTTCTGTTCGGGACGCTTCGCGACCCTCAGAACATTCGCGTAACACCTGGGTTACCTGCCTTGTGTCGAGCCTATATATAGCCTCGTGTTGTACCCAGGTGATCATTCAATTCAAATCATCTTTTCTGAGCTCGATCCTAAGATCCTCACACTTGGTAATCAGAGCCCGTTTACACGCGAAGTTTTTTCGACCGCTAAAAACCAGTCTTCAAAAAAACTGCGGGGGCGACGCAGTTAAACATCGATTTCAGGAACGTAAAACCGGTTCCGTGTTTTTTCGCTCCCCCTCGATTCGTTTTTTGGGGCGCGCTAATGTCAGGCATGGAGGGCCAAGGCGACAACTATGCGACCACGAGCGACATCGCGAGCCTCCGCACCGACATGGAGCAGACGCAGGCGGCGCTTCGTCGACTCGAGGCCCTTCTGACACACCAACCAGGAATCGCCACCGCAGCAGCAACGACTGCAGCGAACGTAGCAGCGACAACACCAGCAGCAGTGGCGACACCGACATTTCACGGACCGATGGCACCACTGTCGCCGAACCTCGAAGCAGCACGACCGAGGCTCCCTGAGGCGTTCGATCCAAGCGCGAAGGGATCCGACGTCCGGCGATTCGTGGCCACCCTCGAAATTTACTTCGAGGCCATTGGCTGTTCGACCCCGACACACGACGCGGCAAGAATTCGGCTCGCAGCGACACTGTTACGTGGACCGGCACTCGAGTGGATCTACAACACTGACGTGGCCCGCGGGGAGAAATCGTGGGCGCAGTTTCGGGCAGATTTAATCGAGCGTTTCGAACCGATTAATACGACCTACATGGCGCGGCAACAGATACACCGACACAAGCAATACAGTAGTGTAGCACAGTACACGCAGCAGATGGAGTTACTGTTCAACCGCATCACCGACCTGACCGAAGGCGAAAAAATCCAGGCGTACACAGAAGGGTTAAAATTGGAGATTCGGCGGCAGGTGATTGCGGCGAATTACAACAGCTACAGGGACATCGTGCGTGCTGCCGAACGATACGACGCGCTGACTCGAGGTCAACCCGAAACACGACGTTTCGCGCCGAACCGTACATTCGGCACGGAGCGATCGGCACCCCCCACGTTCGCCGAACCGATGGATATCGACAAATACGACGCGAAGCAGCAGCCGACAAAATGCGAATTTTGCGGCGCAGCAGGGCATCAGTTTTTGTCGTGCTACAAAATGAAGAAAGCACGTGCGGCACTCCGGGACGGTAACAGTGGAGCACCCCCGAAGCCAAAAAAACCGCAATCGCTTGTAGCCGCAGATCGACCTGGCGATCGCGTAAAGATCCGAAAAGGAGAACAAGGCGACGATGTGGCGACTTCGGAGCGGGTGAAAAAAGGAGAAAATGATGGCGCGAATCTAAAACGTCACGACCGGCCGGCATCAGGGGAAATCGCCGAGGCAAATGGTGGCTCCACGAAAAACGACTCTGCACCGACCAGGAAACTCCAGCCGAACACCCACGAAAGTAAGAATTCGTTAAAAGTATCCTATAAAGATACTCTAACGAAAAATATTGCTTCTCGTGGTTTTCAAGCCTTTGAAAAATTCAGGGGAGATTTAGAGGCCAAGAAAAAGCCCTTAAAGATTATTCAGGTACCTGAGAAGTTGGGCAAAGTACTACGGAGCGTAGAAAAGGGTCATTCTCTCCCCGCAGCATAGTGTTAAGGCTCCCCGTTGCCCACAGGTGAAGCCTACCTACAGAGCTGCAAAGGCTTAGAGGAGATATTCAGGCTCAGGAGAAATTATACAAGCCTCGGAAAAGACCTCCAACCCCCAAGGTGAAGTTGGAAAGTGCTAAGTCGGGTATAGGAAGTAGGGAAGGTATTCATTTTGATGTACCCTATGATCCTATTAATGAGACCCTCTTTGGCTACTCAGCGCAGCAGAAACCACTACTCCTCGAGGTGTTATGCAATGGGCAATGCCTCCAGGCACTGGTGAACAGCGGTGCATCTCACTCGGTGTGTGACCGCGGAACATTGGAGAAAATTGGAGAGAAGGCGGAGGAGACCCAGTTTTCAGCAACCATGGTGGACGGTACGAAGCTTCCCATCCACGGCGAAGCATCTCTGCAGCTGCATATAGGTGCGTTGAGGTGGAAGCCGAAGCTACCAGTCACCAACATCAAAGGGTTAGCATGGGGCGAGATTTCCGGTTCAACCCCGAGATCGATTGGGTCAACAGCAAAGTGTGCATCTACAACAACGGGAAGCGGATAGCACTACGAAGCTGGACGGATACAGGGGACATTCCTGAAACGACACTGGCACGGTTCGAACAGACGGTGAACGAGAGTAACACGGGTTACCTAGCACTGGTCATGGCAGCAGCAGAGGAGGAGAAGCCGAGTTCCGAGCTACTCGCAGCAGTCAAGGAGGTCTTGGAGCAGTACAAGGACATAATGCCCGACGACCTACCTGCAGGCGTACCTCCAGCACGCACCCACGAGCACGAGATCGTGGAGGAACCAGGTGCGAAACCCGTCTCACGTGCACCTTACAGACTGAGTCCGACCGAACTGACAGACATGAAAAAACAGATCGAGTACTTACTGGACAGACAACTGATCCGACCATCCACCTCTCCCTACGGCGCACCAGTTCTCTTCACCCCAAAACCAGACGGCAGTTTACGGATGTGCATCGACTACCGCGCACTGAACAAACAGACAGTAAAAAACAAATACCCCATACCGCGCATCGACGACTTACTGGACCAACTACGTGGTGCAACAGTTTTCTCGAAGCTGGACCTACGGTCGGGTTACTGGCAGATCAAGATGGCGGACAACTCGATCCACAAGACGGCGTTCCGTAGGAGATATGGCTCCTACGAATACTTGGTGATGCCGTTCGGACTCTGCAACGCACCAGCGACGTTCCAAGCGGAGATGAACCACATCCTACGGCCCCTGCTGGACGAGTGCGTCGTGGTACACCTGGACGACATTCTCATCTACTCCAAGAACATGAAGGAGCACGTGGAGCATCTGCGGAAGGTGTTCGAGATCCTGCGGAAGAACAAGTTCTACGTGAAGCTGTCAAAGAGCGACTTCGCACTGAAGAAGGTGCAGTTTCTCGGGCACATGGTAAGTGCCGAGGGCGTACACGTGGACCCGCGGAAGATCGAAGCCGTTAAGAAGTGGAAAGTTCCGGAGAACGTGATTGGGTTGCAGCAGTTCCTAGGCTTCGCCAACTACTACAACAGGTTTGTGCCA